GGTACCTGCCGAGTTGATTGTGATACCTGTTAGCTTTCTTATAACTTTTTACCAACGCCTGAGTTAACAAGAGAAAAATTTCGAACTCGATTTTTCCTTACTCTCGTCTACATTCTAGTTGAACGTAATTCAATTCTTACATGTTATATTTTCGCACCAAATACTTGAATTGAAAAATAAGCGGTTTTTGGTAAGCTTTTCCCGTTCTTCTTTAGTTTTCCAATATTCGCATACACTGTTCGTAACAGTTTTTTTTTTTATCCCAGTCATGAACATTGACAACGCCAGTCTCTTACAGGAGCTTTGAAAGGCTAAGCAGAGCTCGTGTAGTAAAACAGACCAGAGCTCTCAACTCTACGATGAAATTTTTGATCAACAAGATAGAATATTAGTCCAGCTGAACATGTTAACTCGCAAAATGCGCCATTACGCGTTTACAAGAATATTTAAATTATATTAATTCTGCGCACTCTGTCCTAGCCCCGTTAGTAGTAGAGTCAGGTTAGCAGAAAGACGAAGTTTTTTGGGGGGGTAATTTGTTCGTCATGAAAAAGTGAGATGGCGTTGTTTTAATCTGCACAGAAATGAATAAATAATACTAGGAAATAAGCAGTACGCTATCAAGTGATGACAGCGAAGTACTTCAATTAAACCTAGTGTTTTCTCATCTCAAATATGTCTTCTTTCAAATTTTAATTTTACTCATTTGAGCAAGCCTGGAAAAGGAACAGTGATCATAGCGTGAAGGCTCGTACAAAGGTACACCAGCACTAGGCTTAAATCATGCCAGGCCATTACCCGATTAGAATAAAATCGATGGAAACCCCAAGGTCGCTTGGTGGTTGTTGTCTGAAAGTAAGATAATTATGCAAATCCTCGGCCGACACGTTTACTCAGCTCTCTAGGTGTTGTAACCCAGTGTCCTCGGGCATAATGACGCGTGGGCCATTTCCCTTCATCCTCCTGCGAAAGGGAACCTGCAGTTGTTCGAAGGCAACACGAATGATTTTCTGATATTCTAAATTCATTATTATTCTATCTGAATCCTCAGCGTGTTGTACCTCTTGTAACAAATGTTGCTGTATTTGCCTGTCACGTGTACCCGTGGCTTCTCTGATCGCTTCTTTTATCCTGGCAATTGGTTTCACTGGGTTTGCTGTGGGACTCAGCGAAGGCGTCAAAAATCTTAACAAATGGCTTAAGATGGACATAGTGTAAGTAACAATAGTTAGGTGAAGCATACACACGAGACTAACTAACTCACGTAGCTGACGAAACTAACTCCAGTGTCTGATGTATGAAGCCATCATGAGAACACGTGCAATTTCCCGCAAACATTTCAAAGGTAAACATAAGAAACAACCGCCGTCTCGCAAAATAAAAGAAAGGAAATTGATTTGTTTGTGACTCGTGTGAGACAACTTGGTTCTGGCCATCTGAAAGCACGTTATAAGCCACTACAACTTCGTAGGTGCGCAGATATTTGATTGCTTGTAGACCAGGAGAATTGTTAATCTTCCTGGATGGGATGCTAATCGATCACAGGTAACCATCATCTCCCCTTATCCCCCCTTATTCCCCACGTCCCTCCTTCAGCCTTTCACCAAGTTTTCTAGGTTGTGTCCGGGTACCCACCACGTACTCTAGGGTGGAGAAAGGCATTGTGAGGGTTGACTGTCTCGCCTAAAGTAACACAATACACAATAACCCGAGCAAGATTTACACCTGCACTTTTCGATCCAGTGTATAGCAAGCTTACCATGCATCCAGCCAAAGCATCTCTTAAAAGGAAGAATGAAAAAGATGTAAACTTATCAACATACAGATTAATTGACCTCTCATTTTAAGTCTTAACACTATGTAACACTAGTTTTAATTTGTGAGTCAGGAGAAGCAACAGATATTTGCAAATTGGAAAAATGTCGAGTATTATGAGGCACACAAAACTACTAAGAACACAGGACCGAGGAAGCATACGTAAAGTGTGTTTCTCAAGGATCGTCTTTCAGAGAAGTACACTGCATGCCAGTATAAAATGAAATTGAACGAGTTTCCTTTGGTATTGAATTTTTCAGCGAACTGGCTTCTCTGGGGATTATGGCGTTCGGAATATTTCTGGGTTCTTTATCAGGGATGGCGTTGCTCCATGGATTTGCCGCCACTGGGCGGACGAGATTTAACTGCTGTGGCGGTTGGAAAAGACGCCTGCTTGCTCGGTGTTGCATTGGATTTGTAAGTATAGGATAAATAGCCTGCGAATTCAAAAAGAAAATTGAAAATGACAAGAAAGGAATAAAAGATTAAAATAGGAGATTTTTCTTCACCATTTGTAGAAGAAACAGATGGCTCTTGAAGTCAACAGCGCACACACGCGTTGAAATTCCCGCCTTGGCTCCAGGCCTTGGTTGTTTAACGAGCGGAAACTCTATCGACTCTCTATCTCGATGGTAGTGCTGTACGCCATCCTATTTCTCCGTCGTATAGCGTTATCTACCCTTTGAACAACTAGGCCCAGGTCTTTTGTGTTCCTAATTCTTTTAGGGCCTAGCTGATTGTGCAGCAGTTAGAGAGAATTAACAATCAGATTTTAAGCGGTTAAGGGTTATGGGGTTAGTTATCATATAGGCAGTTCTGATTTGACTTAATATAGAAGAAAACATTCTTCTTGTTGTTTCTTTGTACAAAAGAGCGAAACTAACAACTGCTGAAACATTGTCTTTTGTTTTTCTCCTGCAGTTATTTGGTTGGCATTACTTTATGTTTTTCCTGTGGATGTTCATTGCTCCTTTGCTTATCATCCCGGTCATCTTCATGGGAATTTTCTTTGGTGTTTGTCAAGTAAAGGTTGTAAAGCAACTTGGGAAGACGTGCATAAAGTTCAGTGATTATGGTTAGTGACCAACTACTTAAACTTAAGACTTTGGCAGGATTTTCCAATTCGTGTTATCTTTTCCTCGGGGGAAGGATCTTACGCTAGCGTTTTTCTGACCTTTTGGAGCAATGACAACATTGTTTTATCATCGAGAATTTTCAGTGTCTTGAAGAAGAGATGGATTATTTGGACTACCAGGCCACCGCCCTGCCCCTCTCAACTCAGTACAACCTTCCGACTGTTTATAGGACTTTGAAGTGGATGATTTTCGTTGGAATACGCACCTAGCTCCTGAAAGTGTGGTCTGGCCTTGTTTCTAAACTGAATTTTCAAAATTGGGGGCAAGTGAAAAATTTCCTCTCAAAATTGTAAACTGCTCAATGCGGTGTGGCCAAAGTCCCCTGCAAAGTGTTGTAAAGTGCATCAGGGTGTAGAGTAGAAAGGATAATGTGCTCCATAAAAATGCCACATCGTCAATCCGACAATGTACCTTCACAAGTTTACCGCGACAGGAAGGCTAATGAAAGTCTAGAGAAAGTCGCGTTAAAAACAAGAGGGGCTGATAATTCCTTATCAAAAAGACGCTGGCTTAAGATTTTCTGTGTATTTTTGAAAACAGGTTTGGATGACCTTGTTAGCACAGAAGAAGTTTGCGGTGATGACTTGATCGTGTTCTGCGAAGCGGTAAGTTGTTTGGTTTTTATGTGTTCAAGATCTTCGCTTTTTGTTGTTTATTTGTTTCCTTGTTTGTTTCCTCTTCAGATGACGGGTGCCACTCCTTTTTTCGCGGCTGCATTTGTTGGAGGTCTCTTTATTGTTGTTGGTGTGGTAAGTATGTCGGGCTTTTACCTTGTGAATTTAATTGTAATTAGGTTCGACTTTGGCACGGCGGAAACACGATTCTCAGTGGTTCAGAAATCGGGCCAAAGTCATGCGAAATTCAGGCTTTACTGAAACACAGCAACAATTCATTTTCGTAACCTCTCGCGAGAACACAATCCCGCCAAAATACAGTAGCATAATTTATGGAGTTTGTTTGGCTCGGCGTTTAGATCGCTGTCGCACCAGAGTCTTGTAGCACGGTAGAGCTTATCGAACTTAAATTGCTTGCCGAACTTAATTAAGCGGTTTACCTCAGACGTCGTGCTTCTGCCGTGCATTTGTCGAACTTCATTTCAGAATGGAGTCCGACACGGCAGGACCACAACGTCTGAGTGAACTGGGCCTATATGAGCATCTTTTCTTTGACAGCCTAACATCAGTATGCATATTCTCCACACTGTTCTCTATGTAATCATATATCACCCTTGAATCAGTAAGGTCATGCGAATAAAAGAAAATGATCACCAACAAAAGAAGCTCTTGATTGTTAAACAAATTCTCCTTGTCAGCATCATAGGAAATGTATAGAGAGCAGTATGGAGAATATGCATACTGATGTTAGGCTGTAAAGGGTCAGAGCCACTTAATAGTCACTTTGTGCGCTTCTCAGATGTTGAACCCCTTCCATTGGCATGCGTTACTCATTCGTTTTGTCTTCATTGTAGTTCCACATGATGTTCGTATTAACAGCAAACTACGCCCACGTCCATGATCATAGAAGAAGGCCCAAAGCCTCAGAATTCTCCACCTGTCGGACATGTTGCACTGTGAATGACCCGGACCGTTATGAAGAATGCTTCCCTGTGCCCCCGGTAGAAGAGGTGCAGCTAGCCTTGAAAGAGAAATTGGAGCTGAACGCAGGGGACCCTGAGGGGGGAGCACATCCCCACAACCACCCCCACTGGGAATATGTGTACGATTTTGACAAGACTCCAGAGATACTTGGCAAAAAGTATTAACCATTTTCAGGGCGCTTCAGCGTGACTTACCAGTGAGGAAGAAGCTACGAAAAGAACGCTGTAACTCCACCATTTGTAACACCGCGAATAAATTTTTGGCGAGAAATGTATGTTTCACGTTGCTTCACGCGTCGACGTCATCTGTAATGAATACAGGTTATACCACTGCCCAGTTTTCTAGCGAATTGAACCAAAATAAAATTAGGAGCTTTTCCCTAGCATATCTGTGTTTTCCGCTACATTTCGTTATTGCAAAGAGGGACTTAGAGAAAAAGAATTTCACTCTGTTTTTGAATCACATTTGTGAAGCTTTATTTGCGACATTTAAATAAAATAGCTGACGTATTTCACTCCTCTTAAGAGTCTTGATTGTGATTTGTTTAAGAACCTGACCAATCTTCAATTAACTGTCGAAGGTAATCCCAGAATGCATTGGTTTTATTTTAAGAGTTCTGTGATTGATTAATTAAAGCGAGCGCCATCCTCTCAGTCAATCATCTGCAAAACGTCCATCATACAAAATCTAGCGCTGAGCAGATCTCGTTTTTCGTGTCAAAGGAAGTCTTCATAATTTCCTTCTTTCATCTTGCTAGACTCCAGGCCCACTCGGTCGCGAGCCATCAACGGCTTCATGGCCGTGAGCAGGCTGTGATAGAGACCTGGGAACAATATTTCCTGAGCTGCCAGTAACTGCTTTGTTCTATGACGCTCCTGTGTAAGAAACCAAGCAAAAGGACTGAATAAAAACTCAACAACAGGATGAAAAAAAAATTGTTCTTACCTTAGGTGCTTCGAAACAAGCAGGGCAGTTCTCTGCAATCACAGGTAATTTTACCTGTAAAGGAAAAACAAGAATACTCTCTCAATTTAACAATTGGTTCATGCTTTTAGCTGTGCACTATCGAGTTATGGAGCACGTGGGAAGTTTGGAGAGCACTCAAGAAGCTAGAGTTGCCCTCGGCTATTCCCTCGGGCAACTCTTGCCCTTCTTTCGTGCTCTCCAAACTTCCCGCGTGCTCCATAACTCGATAGTGTACGCTAAAGCATGAACCAATTGTTTTAGAACATAGCCGGGTGGAATTGTGCATCAAATCTGACGCGAAAAACGGACAACAATATCAATTGAAGCGAATCGTGACGGCGCTGATACCAAGTCTCCTTTTTCCGTCGTTTTTCTCTTTCTCTGCCTCATTTAAGAACTCTAGCCAAGGGAAAAGGTCGAAAAATTGTCTTCGTTTTGGGACTAGTTGGCCGAGTCTCTGTTTGTATCCATTATTGTCGCGGAATATTTTATTTTACCCCGCGCTAACAATGGCCGCTCGCGCGAAAAACAAAATTTTTCTGGCGAAGCGATTTGCTGACGCTATCAGCGTGCACTATCGGGATTTTGAGCACGCTTACGTATAAAGAATTTGATTGCGCGGCTCTGCAAGCTATGTTCTAATATAACTTAAACAATACATAAATATATAAAACCTACAGTGTGTTTCGACTGAATGTCACGCAGCCAACATCAAAATAATAATGACAGCGAATCACATCGAAGGGCCGATTCTAAGAACTTAAAGCTGCCTATAGCGCGAGAAAACGCAGACGACCATTGGTGACAACGATTGGTGAAAGATAGGCGCTTTTTTCTTGACTAATCATCGAACAAAAAAAGGCAAATTGCAGCAGCACACTGTTTCGGTCAGATAAGGGTGGTGGTAGAAAGAACTTTCCTTAGTGATACCACTGAAAGTGAATTTTTAAATATGATCGCTCACCTTTTCAGCAAAATTACGAAGTTCCTTCTCACGAACGTAAACAAGAGGTCTAATAACTCTCAAGTCGCCTTCCCTAAAAAGACAAAATCGTTCAAGTAAAAGAAAAATAGCGCAGATGAGGTTTTTTTTACGAGCCACACATTAAAAATGTTTAAAAAAAGTGCGAACTTGCGCGACCCTTGATATAGAGACCTATGCTTACCTAAGCCTGACGCTACAATTCACTACGACGAAGTAAATATTAGCTCTAACCCAAACAATACACTCTTTCTTGTATCTTATACAACAAAATAACTTACAGGACTGTGTAGTTTGCCTTCATTGTTCTTAAGAGACCGTTGTGAAATGCTGACATCAAAAAGCTGCAATTGAAACAAAAACGTTTAAGTAAAAGCTATTCAAACTGAACCAACAGGCATCCACAAAAGAATCTGGTTCTTTTACAGCATTTGCCTCCATCTACCCTACAGCGCCTTAGTGTGTGATTTAGACCATTATTTCACAGAGCCCAAAAACAAATTTTTAAAATGCAAAATCGAACTCGGTCTCTGTGTCTCTCTTCTCCCCAAGCTGGTTAAGGAGCCTGGGAGCGATATGAGAAATAAAAAAAAAACAAAGAGATACAAAGTTGGCAAAACATGACGAAGATTGAACCAGATTGCGAAAGACAAATTTAAAACTCTGAACTAAAAAGTCCCAACCGTCACCAGCCGTGACGTCATCACAGTTGGATTGTCTATCAGATCCGGGATCTCCAATCTATCCTCGATATCATTGTTCCCACTCGTTCCCTTCCCCTCCCACCCCCACCCCCCGGCTACAAACCTCTCAGCCAAGTCATCCAGATGTTGACCCATTGCTAACACGTTGTAACCTCCTCGTCTTGCACATGCGTATAGCCTGCCGCGTTTCATTCGTGAACAGAAACTGCAGATGGATTCACAGACAGTAAGCTGGGCGGCCTGTTGAATGATACCTGTTGAAGAAAAGTGATTTCCAGACACTCTCTTTTATCTAATGCATGTATTTTATTGTTTTGAAACATTAACTTTGCTAGTAAAGCAATACGAATAGCCCCGTCACTTACCTTGCTCTTCAAAGAAGTAAGGAACAGCAAGAGCTGCTAAATACTGAACCAAAGGTTTGGGATCATACCCTTGTGACTGAGGATCTACGGTTGCGGCTCCAAGTTCGAAATTAATGCCCTGAAAAAGACAAAAACACGTACTAAACAACGAATCTCGGTTCACGTTATGAAGTTAAGTCGGTCAAGTATGCAATAGAGATAATGAATGTCGCACACGAGAAACCCAAGTGGTTATACCCTGTTTTAGGCCCTAAGTTTGTGGAACGAGCGAAAAAGCGTGACGAGAGAGGAAAATACGTAGCGAACTATGGAGAGCATTTATCACTCCATCCCACAGTCCTATCGATTTTCGCTCGCCAACGGGCGCCCCTCCTTTCAGCCGAACTTTTAAATAAGCGCCCAGGCGCTTATTCGAGGATATACGGTATAGATATTCAAACATGATGTAACTTTCTGATGGCATACCTTAGATCTGCTGTAGAATTGATACTGGCGTAACGCGTGCAGTAAAGAGAGCGAGTCTTTGCCTCCTGACAGACACACCATCACCCGGTCTCCATCATGAATCATGTCGTACTCTTCCAAGGCCTGAAAAAGAAAAACTTCATTAAAGGAACAAATTAGTGCATGCAGCATTGAAAAGATAATTCTCCTACCTTCGGCTTGATATCTTTGGACAATTTCTCACCTCTAAAGTCGGCTTGAAAATGCTCTTTGGCGGATGATGGAACTGTGGTTTTCCAGTCACCACTTCCTTTTGTTTGTTTTTTCTCCCTTTTCTTTGACAAACTGTTTTTGAACTCGCCGAGGCGTCACCATTTCCAGAAATCAACTCACTTGCAGACGAAGACTCTGCTACCGAATTAAGACCAGCGTTTTCAAATACTGTTTTCATTTCTAGGTTGTCAACAAGAGACTCGACCAGTTTCTTATGGAGTTTATTCGATTGTTCACTGTCATTTGTTACACTGCTTTCGGGTGATTTTTCCTCACTGGGAATAACAATGCAATCATCTCCAAAGGATTCAACTCCATGAGTTCCCTCTTCCAAAACAGTATTAACTCCATGTTTTGTATCTACACTTCTAGCCTCAAATTTCGTAGAATAACAGGTGTCAGCTTGGCCAGAATTAACACAAAAACTTGCTGCTGAATCTAAAATTTCATCCGTACACAGAAGAGTAGAAATATCCTTTTCTGTAATGTTACCGTAGTTACAACTATTTAATAATGAATCGTCCATGTTTGCACCGTTCACTTGACCCGAAACACTTGTACAGTCTACAACGCCTTTAACATCACTGTCATTTTCTTCGCGGGAAACGAGATTTTCAGGTGACTTCAAAGTACACTTTTCCATGGGGCTCACATAATTCCCATTACAAGGCTCCAAGCACTTGGCACAACAGGAATCAGCTCCTTCTGGAACATTATTCCAATGTGGCGGAGAAAACGGTGGCGTCATAGGAAAATGCGCGGGACTTTTCCCGCCCAGTAACTGCGCCACTTCGCTGGGGAGTAGAAACCAGCGGTATCTTTCACCCTCTTCGCCGAAAAGTAACGTCTGATCACCAACACTATTAACAAGCTGAAAATGACCAGTAAAACAATTTCTTCTTGCAGTGTAAATACATTGGCAAGCAGAAAGTTAATAAGAAGAAAGGAAAATAGCAAACAACAGATACAGTTAGATTTGACAATACATTCTCTAAATTGAAATCATATGAATAGCCCATTTGCGAATTACCCTTGGCCTCATTTTCAAAACGAGTCCTGGTGCTCAACCATTCTTGTGAAAATGAGTTTAATTTGCATGTGAATGGAAACTTTTTATCATATGAAAGGAAACTTATTATCATATGAAAGGATTAGCACGAGGACTCGTTTTGAAAACGAGGCCAAGAGTAATTCGCAAATGGGCTATTGAACGGCACGCTGACATGAGAATTAATGGTGGTAAGTTTCAGAGGAAACTGTGGGGCTGCGTCAGTGGGGGTAGCGCGGTAATTTGGTTTTATCAACTGATTTGATAATGTAAATTAATAATAATAATAATAATAATAATTTTATTTATATAGCGCTAAAATCCAATAATTGTCCAAAGCGCTACCTAATTACAATATAAAATATAAAAATATATAATATAAAATATCTACGATATACAATATAATTCAAATATAACCTAAGTTATCTACTATATAAATCAAAAACATCTCAAAACAAAACGAATCTCATAACCTATATGCTAACTTAAATAAAAAAGTTTTAAGGGATTGCTTAAAAGTTGCCACTGAAGCACATTTCCTAATCTCTAGAGGTAAATCGTTCCACAATTTAGGTCCTGCAATAGAGAAAGCTCTGTCTCCATATGTTTTCAATCTGCTTCTTGGAACCACTAAATATTCTTTACATGAAGAACGCAATGACCTAGAGTATGTTTTAAAATTCAAAAGGTCAGAAATATAGGAAGGTGCAAGGCCATGAAGGGCCTTGTATACCAATAAAAGGAATTGGCCACCGTGTAGGGTTTAAACCCCTTAATAGAGACCAGTTAAGCAGTCAGGACGGCAACGCCAAGGAAGATGTCGATTAAAAATTGATTATCTACTTTAGATCAGAATTTCGAAAATGGCTGCATGCGTTTACCATCTCATACGGGGCCACAACTCAATCTCAGCATAACGTATAAAAGTAGTGTTGAGTTCCCAATGGAAATTACAATAATTTTGCCGTCGCGGTTTCGGTTCGCAGACGACGCAAATTTTGGTGATTTCACGTAGTTGTTTTCCAAACGACGGCTAAGAAATTGACTAAGTTCTAAAATGCACGTGCTGAGCTATTGTTCTGCCAATAAGATATTTTGTTTTTTCACGTCCTCGTTGCCGTTACCGTCGCCGTCGTGGTTTGCTTAAGGCCCCTAATAATTTAAACCCTTTGATTTGGTTTTATCACCATGAAAATTGCCGTTGAGAATCTTGTGAGTTTGAAAGCTTATAACTTCTTGACTCGATGTCAGTATCTGAAAAAAAATGCGCACCCACCCCTTCCATACCCCATCATTAACCTTAAATTGTTAAAAGTTGATTGTTGCTGGGATGGGGAACAACGATCCAATTTCTTCTACCCCTTCACTTCTCCTCACTACCTGCCGTACAAATCTTCAGTTGTTCCTTTGGAGAATTTGGGATTGGATCAACCGATAATCCCCTAATGGTACTTTTCTTTATAATTATCATCTCTGTCTGTTTTACATCCTGATATCATGAAAAAAATGATCTTTTTGTCACCTATAGGAGTTAAAGGGTTAGGGTACGAAAATCGAGATTAAGACGTCACCTCCTGGTTTGCCCTCTACATCGACATTAAAACTAAAAAAGTTGTTTGTAAAAAGAAATCTGTCGTCACACAAGAGTAAACTAAACAAGAACAATTAATTGGCAATACCTTGTCGGTAGCTGCTTTACGGAATATTTCTTCAGCTTCCAAGAGACATTCCTACACAGAAAGAGTGAGAAGAAACTTTCAGGTATTGGAAAAAAACCATTCCAAGAAAATCTTTCGCCAATCGCTTGGTTTCTTTAATGAATCGCTCCAGACGCCTAAGAAGTAACACCTAATTGCAATGACACTATAACTTCTGTTGTGAACGCGGCCATTTTGAAAACTTAGTGACCTGGCCGCACACGAACAACCACAACGCGTGGTTCACAAGCAGCTGGATCCGCCTTCCAGACGAAAAACATCGCGCAACTCTTAGCCAATCAGATGTACAGCTAAATGTCAAACACGACTTGATTACTGGAGTTTTCAGGCAGTTAGATTGTTTATATTTCATTTTTATTGGCTCGTTTTGATGTTATTCTTTGTTCTGATTGGTTGCTCTGATTTCTGTGGTGTGCTTCGTCAACAATTCAGGTCAAAAAAAGCTGTTAGATAGCAAACAATTCATCAAACTGAATACGCATGCGTTGTCTTGGCAACGAGCTAGGCAGTTTTACGGTCTACATCATTACCATGTAGGAACCTGGAGGCTCTTTTGCGATCCCTAGGGATGATGGGTAAGTCATGTGACCCTCTGAATAAGAGATTGAACCAAGCCACTTCCGGTCGCGGAACACCTGGAATATTTTTACAAGAGCACGAATTACTGTCACAGTGGTAAGCAGAACGACACAAGTGTACAGGGCTCTTCACGTGGGTCTTACTGGGAGGGGTGGGAAAGCACTTTTCTTGACGCAGGGGAGGGGAGGTCACTCGAATCTTTAAGACCATTGGCACGCACATATGAAAGCACTTGTAACGCGTGACATGACACACGCGCGTAACAACAGCACGTGGACTAATGGGTTTGATCACCCTGGTCGGAAATTTTGTTTTCCACCAATTGTAACGATCAAATAAACAAAACAATTAGTAAGCATAAAGCCAAATTATCAGTCCTCCCTTTGAGAGGTATCTAAAAGAAACTGAGGAAACAAACCAACATAATTGGAATTGTCACCTTTACATCCAGCATCAAAACAAAAAACTACAAGTGTGGGCAGGCAAGTATACAAACAAACAAAATCTACAAGAGAGAGTCACCTGATGTTTTCTGTGTTTCCATTCTCCCGTCTCTGGGTTGAACATGTACTAAACAAAGAATAGAAAAATTCCTTAATACATGGTAAAGCAGGTCGCCACATAAAACACTAAAGCTGTTTGTGATTGGGCGAGCTCAAAACATTATTAAGAAACTGTGAAAGAGACACAAAAACAAACGAAATTTCAAAAGCGCGGGAAAACGGAGGTAACCAAGTTACGCCACCCTATCGACCAATCGGATGCAAAACTTAAACAAATCACACACTTGTCATTTTCCCACGCTCCAAGTAGTTTGCCTGTTTTTATTCCGAGCTCTCATTGGCTATTAATGATTAAACCCCTCGTTCTGTTTAGCCGTTGAAATTTGGTTTGGTTTTCCGACACTCATCAAGAAAAACTGTTTATACTGATAAAGGCCTTTACCTGCGGAAGAAGCATCCAGCCGTGTTTGGCCACCATCTCCACCGCTTTGAGAACAAACTCAACAGCAGCGTGCGACATAAAGTACGGCAAATTAAGGCGAACAAAACCTGGCCTACCAGAAGTGAAACAAAATTCGTAAGGCGATAAGGTTGTACGTCAAGTTGTATTGAAGTTTCCATTGTCTCGTTGCTCCAAGAGAACGATGCTGACGTAATAGAAAAGCCACTGTTGATGGACAATTTAATTTGGTTCAACACTTTCAAAGCGACGATTCAGTAATCCTTTGTAATTCGCTCTGACGAAGGGCTAACGCTCGAAACGTCAGCTTTGAAACTCTTTAAGGTGACCAATTTACAATATCAACTCAATTGCTAAAACCAAAATTTGGTTCTGTCCTGGTGTACCGGTTCACAAGGGAATTACCACTGTTCTTTCTTTGTTTAGGAGTTCTCGGTTAGCTATTGTGTATTGTTTGGTCTTTTGTATTGGCTCTTGTGAACCGGTACACGAGGACAGAACCCAAAATTACCTTGTTATACTTCCCTATCGACGCAGCACCACAATTTCTTAAACTTACTCCCTTCATTCCATTACATAGTTCAGTTAAACAGGCATGACGGGTAAACTGTTCTATTACATTAGGGACCATAAGCAGTCAGGACGGCAACGCTAAGGAAGACTCAGATTAAAAAATGAACTTCTACTCTTAGTTAGAATTTCAAACATGGCTGCAGGAGCTTACTGTCTCATATGGTGCCACAGCTCAACTTCAGCACGACGTATAAAAGTAGCGTTGAGTTCCAAATGAAACTTAAAATAATTTGCCGTCGCGGTTTCGGTTCGCAGACGACGCAAATTTTGGCGATTTCACGCTCTTGTTTTTCCACGTCCTCGTTGCCGTCGCCGTCGCGGTTGCCTAAGGTCCCTAATGTCTAATTTCAAGCACGACGCGTGATACTGATAACTAATCACATTCGAGAACTCATAGTTTTAATTACAAAGGAAAAACGAACGCGGAATAAAAACTAACCTTAAAATTTCCCGTTCGGAGTATTCGTGGTATCGTCGAAGATGAACTCTGTCCAAACGACTATTGACGAAGAAAAAAAAAAAGATAGGTAACTATTTTGAACAGGTATTAATAGTTTCGAAAATACAGTACTTTTAAATGATTGGTGAGTCCAACCCAACCAATTACCATATCTTATTTAATTGGAAAGTACTGAGTTTAGAATCAAATTAACACAACACCACACCTGTCTTCCAAAAGAAGGTTTTCAATCTCCTTAGCCAGTTTCTCGTCTATTCCTAAAAGATTCTATAAAAAAAGACCAACAAATATTTTTTTTTTTTTTTTTTGATGGGCGTACCCTACTTATCTAGGAGTTCAAATCGTGTGTCTATTAGACAAGAATCATAGGAAACAGGATGAAATGGCAGGAGAGTAACCTTACGAAAGACTGGTATCCCAGGGGTAAAATGTAATACGCCTAAATGCTCATAATCGCTTCATGCCATGGAAACCGTGATAAGCTCCGCCAACTTGGCTCGAGTACGGAGTTGACCTACCTACTTTCTATACAAAAATCATTCAAAAACCGCTCACTTCAGCGATTTTCATTAATTTTAGCAAAGGCAAAACGTTTTATCTTCCGGCGCAAACCTGTAGAAAAGCGACGCTTACTGTTAGTTATAAATTGCAAGTAATCTGTAACCGTCATACATTATTTTAAGTTCAAAAACAGCGGGTACCTGTGCATAGGGACCCGCACAAGCACAGCCTCCACGGGCCTGTATTCCAAACACGTCATTGAGTAGGGCACACACGTAATTGTGATGTAAGAACATTCCAGAGCATGGATCCTTTATGAGGAACGAGAAGATGGGAAGTCGAGGGACTGATGTGTTCCCTAGAAGAACAATATTTCTGCTGTTGCTCCAGGCAGCCAGCGCTCTCCTGTTTGGGTAAAAGCACAAATACGCTTCATTGTTTTTAAATTTCTAAAACATTTCGCATGTACTTTTCTTCGAGAGTGAGATAAGTTTGGATTCGAAGCTTTTTGTAGTAATAAGTGCAGTTTTGACAGATACCTTTACGATATATTTATTCTCTGGCTATTTCATTTACTGGATGACGAACCTGCATAAGTCTTGTTCGATGGCCATAATGTTTTCTGAACCGATTTCCTAACGAAGACAGGAGACAATCAAACGCGCATCAGTCAACGAGTGAAGAATGTAGACGCAATTGAGTAGTTTGCAAATAGATCTTGAAAAACAATGCACAAGCAAATTTAAGAACAAATTTTCATTGGAAAAGAAAGATAGAACTGAGCGTAATGCGTGATGTGTGGTGAGTAATTCGTGTGCGTGTGTGTGAAAAAGTTGAGCAAATACAAATATGATACGAGAGAAAGGAAATAGTAAATAAGTTACTTTACGGGTTTAGAGCTGATCTGTATGGTGAAATACAGCGACTCCACTAACTTTTTCTTGTACATACCCACCTGACAGCCGTATTTCCTCCAATAAGAGCTCGGGTGCTTATTTAAAATTTCGCCAAAAAGGAGGGGGGGCACTTATTAAGTTTTTCTTTTAATGAACTGTAACTTTGTTTTGGCTAAATCTTAAAAAGAAAAACAGAAACTACACTAGCCACGTAGATGCTAAGTCAATATTAACATATTTCGTTGTTCAACCAAAGGAGGAAAGACTTTTTTGCTTAAAAAAAAAAACAAAACAAAACAAATAAACACGGAAAAAGCCAAAAAGTATGACAGTTCAATTGGAACTCAGAAAGTGAAGTATGTGTAAGGCGCTGGTAGTTTAAAGCGTATTGGTCACATTTCAAGGGATGGAGCTGTATCTCTCAATAACTTTAAAAACCGTAAAAATTACTGGTCCCCGAAGGCTAGAGAATGGTGTAGTAATACCTAGGAAGTTAACAGCATTTACCAAGAGCGCAGCAGTAGGACAAAAATTAAAGGAAAGAGGAACTCTGCAAGCACATGCAGATAGAAATAACCGGAACGGAAGAGAAACTATCCTCAGTTACTGATTCCGCTTTAGTTGAAGGTTGAAAAGTTAAAAATAAATTGGCAAAAGAGGCTACTAATTTGACAAATTGAGGGAAGGGGAACGCGCTTATTCAAGAGGAGCGCTTATTTGACATTTTGGCTTAGGGAGTGTGCGCCTATTCGAGTAAATATGGTATTCGAGTGTTTCGAAAATCGATTCTCGATAAACGAAACTCGAAACTCTAATCACGATTCTCGATAAACGAAACTCGAAACTCTAATCACGATTCTTGACACTTTCAAGAATCTAGGAATGAGTTTCGAGTTAACTTTGAGAGTTAGTTTCTCTCCCACGGTGAGCGCCATTAGTGCATTTATAGACCGTCGGAATCGTCTACTGAAAGAATCTTTTCACTGGCACCTAATTGCTATTTTTGTACCTGTTTCAGTTGAAATGCAAGGCCGGCTCGCACGGAACCTACAATAGATGGAGTGCCAGCTTCTTCTCTCGTCTCTATCTCTTTCAGGTATCTGTGGGTGTTCTTTGTAACCTTAACATACAATAGATATATCTTATTATTAAAAACTGGATCATTAGATAATGCAATTCAAGACTTTTTATTGGCTTAGCCATTATGGTAAATGAGCCAATATACCACATTCTACAAATATGGTAGGCGTAAGCGTCGGGTTAAAATTAAAAGGGAGCTAAATAATTTAAGATTTGGTAAGATTTGTCTAATATCTTGGGGGCGTTTTTAATAAAACAATTATTCCACTCGCGCTTGTTGGATATGAGATGATTATAGCCAACTCGGCGCTACGCGCCTCGTTGGCTATCTATCATCTCATATCCAACGCGCGCTCGTGGAATAATTGNGTGTAGCCGCGTGATGCGGTTCCAGTCAATACCCACTAATTGACCCTTGCTCACCATAGAGTCTCCTGTAGCTCAGTGGTTAGAGCATCCGACTAGATCACGGAGGGTCGTGGGTTCAAATCCCATCTGGAAACTCGATTTTTAAAAATTGTTTATTTCATCTTTACATGCTCACTTTGGAGGCTGGTTGGCTGCATGTGATGCTTTAATGCATGTGATGCTTTAATGTGACAGCGTGATGCTGTTAGTGAGCTTCTATGCGCTAGCTGATGTTTGGCTGTGTAGCCGCGTGATGCGGTTCCAGTCAATACCCACTAATTGACCCTTGCTCACCATAGAGTCTCCTGTAGCTCAGTGGTTAGAGCATCCGACTAGATCACGGAGGGTCGTGGGTTCAAATCCCATCTGGAAACTCGATTTTTAAAAATTGTTTATTTCATCTTTACATGCTCACTTTGGAGGCTGGTTGGCTGCATGTGATGCTTTAATGCATGTGATGCTTTAATGTGACAGCGTGATGCTGTTAGTGAGCTTCTATGCGCTAGCTGATGTTTGGCTGTGTAGCCGCGTGATGCGGTTCCAGTCAATACCCACTAATTGACCCTTGCTCACCATAGAGTCTCCTGTAGCTCAGTGGTTAGAGCATCCGACTAGATCACGGAGGGTCGTGGGTTCAAATCCCATCCGGAAACTCGACATTAAATGTTGACCGAACTATTTGTGATTAGAATCATTAATGGGGGAAAAAATTAGCTTACACTTTCAGGATCTGCAAAATGTGGTTCGTTTTCCGCAATGTCTCAAACTACACGTCATCTCTAACAAGGAACAATTTTTGCTTGAACCAGCTAAGATTTTCTTTGCTCCCTCAAAGTGACTTTTATGAACATTTGATACATTAAAGTTCACAAAGCAACCAAGTGGACAATCAGACATGGTTTGATTATACTCTGGTTTAGAATTATATAGGAAAATCCATCACTTGACGAGGGAATTCCGCATTAAATTACACGTGAAAACCGATATCGCACGAATCGCGAAGCGATTCGTCCGATATCGGTTTTCACGTGAATTTAATGTGGAATTCACAAGAAAAGTAATGGATTTTCCTTGAATCGCATAACTAAATAAAAATGAGAAAAAAAAAACAGCATTACTTAAAATTGTTATGTTTACGTAGATGCGAAACGATATCACTTAGCCTCGTTTTCAATTCGCAATCCACGCTAAATACCTCGCTTCGTTAACCAATCAGAATGCGAGATATTATTCAATGATGCGATTCTCGTTAGAATTAAAGTCGATTGGAGGTGATAATTTTAGCAGTAATAATTTTAGAATTTTCCCACCCAATTGTATGGTTCGTTAGGCATGTGTGCTCCGACAAAGCTGAAGTTTCTCTTTTAAAAAAAGAAGACAGCTTTTTGATGCTCTTTCAAACGTGCACTGAACTGACGTTTGGTCTGTCCGATATACTCGTGATCACAGTCATTGCACGGAATAGAATAAATAGCTTCGGTTCGTTGCTCTTTCGTGACAGGACCCTTAAGTTTGGTAAAAATATGCCCCAAAGTCTTAAAACGGTTTTGAGAAACTTTAATTTTTGTGGATACTCAAAATTCTCTTGATGGGTTCCATAACACCCTAAATGTAAGGAATAACAGCAAAAACCAGTCACTCTTTCCTTCTCATTGGGAGCGTTACTTTAAATGGTGATGATGGCGGCTTACTGCCTCACGCCTATTTACACCTCGTCAGAAAAAAGGGCAGCTAATCCGGCGGTGAGTTTATAAAAAAACCCTCTTGTGGCAATGATCAGATTACCGGTACCCCCCCGGATGAAGGCACTATAGACAAGAGTGTCGAAACGTTGGGTCCATGAATTGTAACTTCTCGGTTACATTTCATTAAATCTTTAAACCAGAGTAGCATCAAACCATGTCTTTATGAACATTTGTTTGACTAAAATCCCTACAGGAACAGAAGTACAGAAATTTGGGATGTGTGTCAGTCTCTGAGCAACTGAGTCCTTACCCCTCCCCTGGCCCAACAATAACCAACTGATGACAAGTTAAGGTTCCTTTTGGAGTAGGAGAGGGGTGGGTGCCTAGTTGCCCTGATACTGACTTTTATCTGAAAGGTGTTGCACCTACAAAAAACACTGATCCACCGCCACAACCTGATGGAACAGGGTTCACAAACAGATTCTTTTTTGCCACAAGGATACCTGTGAATAATAATAAGCAAATGAACAAGAAATAAGGATGTGAGAAACTGCACATAAATTGAAGTATTTCTAACAGACTGGTGACAAGCTGACAGAGGTAAAAAATCTGATATTCTTCTTCTAACGTTGTTTCAATTTACAATTTTATACCATTGAACCCTAAAAGTGACCAGCATCTAATTTCTCCTTACAAATATCACCCCTGAATCAAACATTAAGGGCACGAGAATAAAGGAAATGATCACCAATTAATCAAGCTCTTGATTGTTGAACAAATTCTTCTTGTCTGCACCCAAGGAAATGTATAGAGAACAGTATGGAGAATATGCATACTGATGTCAGGGTGTAAAGAGTTAAGCCAAAACACCCCTCACCTGGACTTTCTACACCACCCACAAACTTGTGCGTTGAAATGAAAACTGCATCTTTGTAGACAAGTCCTTGGTCATCACTACATGAAATAAAAGTTTTTGGACAGGAAATTGTATGAAGCATGGTTCAAGAATGCTTGAGGACAGAGAGTGATATTAAGTATTGTTTAAGAGTGCTAGAAGGTAACTTTTTTTTAACAACAATTGATTATTCAAGCCATTGCTGAGTTGGTACACATAAATGAAGACTGCTGACTTTTTCAAAGCATAGCTGATAACTTCAGTCCACTACCAACCCAATCCTTACATTGTGAAGTTTGGTCTAAACTAATGAATGTCAACGTAAGATTTAAAGAAAAAAAAATGCCCTTTTTGTGTGCAACTAGGATCTACCACCAGCATTTGTCATTTAAGGCTAATATGCTTATGTTACTGCTCATTGTCCAATAAACTGACAAATGACAAGGGAAATGAAACAGTATGTTGAAACAAATTTACTCTAGTATCACCTGGTTACCAAAGGATTCATGTTGATTTCTGCATAGGGACCTGTGAAACAAAACACAAAATACAAAACAAGATTTAAAAATACAAAATAAGACATATAATTATTAATAATGATGATAGTAAATTTTAGGTTTATCAATGATGCTAGCCTTTTAACATCGTTGATCCTGGCAATATGTAGAATTCTTGCCACCTATGAACCTCGAAATAGTCTAGCTCGCCAAAGAGTCTCTATGGCATGGCTCAATGGTGAACATTAGAGGGCAGAATCCCAAAGTCTTCAGTGGGATTCCTCATTGAACTTAGAGTTATTTTCTTTCTCCCCTGCTTGTGACAAGATGAAAAAACATCTCTCTCAAAATGCAGTTGTCAATCATTTCAAGTCTGATTACGCATACGTAACAGTAGTGGTGATGGACACTTTGACCAACTGAATGGAATTTGTAAATAGAATAAGAAAGACCATACCATCTTTCTTATTCTTCTATCTTTCTTATACTATTTACAAAAAATGATGCTATCAATATTGTAATCCTAGCAGTATGCAGGATGCACGTCATATATGAGCTCCCTAATGGACCTTGCTCACTATGGAGTCTCTGTGACTCAGAGCATCAGAGCATGGAATCTGAAGGTCCAAGGTTGGATTCCTCATGGCGAATTTTTTTTTTTTGTCCAACACTCATGACAAGTAGAAAAACACCTTTCTATGAATGGATTTTGTCACCAGCATACATTTGAATGTGGTATGTCAGAGGCAGAAAGACAACTCAGTTTAGCCATGATGTTCTTGGCTTCAAGATCCATGAGGTGCTTGCGAGTAGTCACTGATTAATTGCTTTGAGAAAGATATCTTTTATTACCCGCTGTAGCATAATCCCAGAAGGCCAGAGCACCATGTCTGTGCAAAGAGGCAGTTACAGCATTGGTGTCTGTTAAAATTCCTGTCACATTAGAGGCTGAGGAGAAACAGCCAATCAGCTGCCTACTTTTTGAAGAGTGAAGCTAAACATAAAGAAAAAAATTGATTTGATAATGGAGTAAAACATACAGTTCTGCAGAGGTAGCACATGTTTACAAAAACAAACTTTTGACAACAAACTAAAACTGAATTTAGGTAGTATTAATTATCAAGTTTTCAGTTTAAAAGGTTTCTATTCATGCAACCAAACAAATATGCAGAAAAGTCCGTATTCAGTGTTTGTGTTGGAAGCTACTTGAAAGTACTCAATTCTAATTTCATCATAAAGTGACTTTAAACATCAGATAAAGGTATCAAAAGACAATCATCCATCAGTCATAAAAATGAGTTCCAGGGACGATTTTTTTTTTCATTTTTATAACTTGATTAAATCTTCTTGAACAAGCTTACATGTATGTACCATATACCTTAAGTTTAAATTCCAAGTCTAATGGATCAACTAAGCCTTCTGAGTTCTGCTGAATCCACACAACCTAGCAATCAAATATTGAGTAGATTTTATGAAATCATGTCCTGGGAAATCATATGAAGTTTTTTCTTTGACAATTGGACAAATTATAGAGCTATCTACAAACTTAATTAACACTTACTGTTAGTAATTATCAGTTCAGGGAAATAATTATTCCCTTAAGCATACACAGAATCTGCAGTTATCAAAACCCCTACAGGTTTTCAAAATTGCCTAACTGCAAAGGGGCCCTTCACAATAGCTTTACTAAAGATTTAACCTGTTACAGCAACTCATTGCTGAGACAAGCCATTTATTTTAGCTCCAAAACACAGGAAGCTTTACTCCCTAGCGGCTTGCATCATGTGCTTGTGAAAACTCTGTGTCCACTGGCCTACAGCAGGTGTAATACTGACACTCGAAAGCCCTTGCGATACTAAGTCTATCACATATCGTAACATAACCCAAACAATTTGACCAGAGTCCACAATACTGACGATTAAGTTACCATGCTTGAACCTTTAAACACCCAGAAGTGATTAACACATAACTTCTCCCTATAACATCCATACAATAATCAGCAAACAGGTAATGAGAACACTCAAACTTATCAGGAAGAATTTGTTATTGCAATCTAACACCACATTCTTGTAACTTACTTACAAGGAAATGTGAAGCAGCTATAGAGGAAAATTAACAATCAGATCTTGGGACCTAAACACCTGGTTAGTTTCATTTGCTCCAACCAAGGGCTAACGCTCGAAACGTCAGCTTTTGTAATCGTTACGGTGGCCAATTTACCATTTCAACTTTGTTGATATATCCAAATTATTTAGTTTCCTATCAGTCTATTGTACATCTCCCTAATTACAAGTTTGCATTTTTTTCAAATGCTCTTCCTTACCAACCTCAGCTCCTACTTCTTTCCATGGTAGGAGGTTTGAATGATGTTCAAACGGTCCAACAAAAACTATCTGAAAAAAAGAAAAAAAAAATTGAGAATATCTTATCTCGCAATAACAGCACTTTTTTCAGCTAACCCTTGAACTCAAAGAGGTGATTCCTTTTAACATCCGTATATCATCCAGCTAATGACCACACTGAAACTTGGCAGGTACAAGTTGTTATCTTGATTTAACACTGATTTCTTGTAAGTAAGTAAGTAAGACTTTATTTACACATGGTAACCCATTCAGCTCAAGGATAGTATCCATAGGGGCCCTGTTTCTTAACAATAAATTACATCAAAATTCTCAATTATTTATATAAAATATGACTAGGATTTTAAAACTACATTAACAGCCTAAGACTATAAAGCCAAAACACAATTAAGACCTAAAATAGTAGATAAAATATCAAGTTAAGATGAAAAGAAATGTCTTACTCAGCAGCAGAACGTTTGAATGTTTTCACTGTTCACAATGTTTAAAGGGAGTTTATTAAAAATTTCTGCGCCAGTAAAAAGAGAGGTCCTTTTCCCAAAATTTTGTTTTACTTTGGGTAGGGATAGCCTCATACTTTGCCTTGTGGAATAGTTGTGAATATTCAAAATTCTGGTGAAATATGATGAAAAGTAACTAGGAACTCATGAGTGAAGACAGAGAAAAACGAGTTTAGCCTTGTGGTAATAGGGACCTTAAGAAACCACGACGAC